CAGCGCCACTTCACCCTGTTCTGCACTGGTGGGAAATTGGGGATCCTGACCCAATTCCTCAATCGCAACCTCCTGGGATCACTTCCTTGTCAATCGACAATCTCTAAATGAATCGCCATGCTAAAAATAGCCTCTCAGAGCCTCTCAGGCCTCTAAGCACCAATCGCCACCACTCCTGCACAACCCTAGTCAGGAGTGAGTCACCCTCTGTCCAATTCTTTTCGCCACACGCTCACCACCAACACCCTTACTAACAACAACCCTGAAGATGATGAATCGCCATGAGACTCAACTCCAGTATCTTGCTAGATGATGATGGCTGCTCCAACTCATCATTCGCTCCGATACCAACTGTTATGTTTCTGGTTGTTCGTTGTCTGAAGACCAACACCCACTCACATAAACCTCCAGGTATGCCCATACATACACAAAAGGAAAGGGAGAGGACAGGAGTATCACACCGCACAGGGAGAGATAAACACAGCGGAAGACTTAACCATGCGATATGACAGGGTACATTGAAAGTGCAATTTACTCCACTCAATCCTCACCAGTCATAAAGGAAAGCCGAGTAGATCACATCCAGGAAACAATGAAACGATGATAGTCCAAACCTAGTATTACACTGTTTATTAAACTCAGATAACTTCAGACCTACAGTGCGCTGCTCAGAAATGAGCAGCGCTTTACTCCTCAACCCTGAGTAATGAATCGTAACACCCCTGAGCCCTTGAAACATCAAGCGCCACCCAATTACTGTCCTCAGAGAGCAGCGCCACCCTGAAACAGGCCTCTGAGGCCAAGTGCCACTAAGAGGATGAAGAAGAAGACCAGCGCCACAATATCCGATGATGACAAAGTGTCGGAAGACTTCCCGGGTGGAAGTCTGCAGCAGCGCCACCAATTCCTGACAAGATGACCTCTGAGGAGGAAGCTGCAGCTATGGGTGCAGCGCCACAGCCCTGTGACCCCACTCCGGAGGAGGGTCCAGCAGGGCACCAACTTCTCGCGCCGCCAACAGACCTCAATAGCCCAGATCCAGGGCTGGGTCGGGAACCGGCCGGTTGACTCACCCCGGTCCACCCGGATCCAGATCAGTGGGGGGGGGGGCAACCGGAAAACCGGATTAAGCAAAAAAACCTCTGTTTTTTTTTTCTTTTTTTCTTTTTTCTTTTTTTTAAGGCGGGATCGGACTGCGCTCATTGAGATCTGTCCGATTCCGCTAAGAAACTTTGAAGGGGCGATTTTTTTTTTTTTTTGGGGGGGGGTTGGGGAGGGGGGATTCATGGGGTGATGGTTCCCTTTCATGGGGTGAAGGAGAAAAGGAGGAGTAGGAGGAGGGAACGACGCAGCAGGAGGGGTGGGTAGGACGATGCTCTCTCTCTCTCTCTCTCTCTCTCTCTCTCTCTCTCTCTCTCTCTCTCTCTCTCTCTCTCCTGTCTCTTATACACATCTAGATGTGTATAAGAGACAGGTGTCTCGAGTGTGCAGGCCCGGAAGCAGCAGCATACATTTCAGATAGAAGACCAGTCTATCAACAGTGTGAGTGAGACGAATGCAAAGAAGACAACGATGATGAAAAAAAGAAGTTCAACAAGAAGAAGAAAAAGTAGAACAGAAAGAGGACACAAAATCGACAGCACTGAGCAGGGACTTCCAAATTCCTTAAGTCCACAATCTGCAGCAGTTTCACGTGTTCGCGTGAGTGCTCTCTCTCTCTCTCTCTCTCTCTCTCTCTCTCTCTCTCATTTGGAATCCCCTTCGTCCATCTCATCCTCGGGCGATTCCACACCTCCCTCATCCGAAGAGGGGTCATCCTCGGCGACTTCGACTTTGCGGCGCCTGCCTGCAGCGCGCTGTTTCTTTTTCCGAGCATTATCACCCGTTTTTGGGTTGGGGGGCCTGCCTCGACCTCGGCGCGGCTTTGCAGGGATTTCATCCACCAGAGCTTTCCTCTTTCGCCCCGCCCTGCTTTTCCAAAGGTTATCATGCTGGGCATCCTCGTTCTCTGCAGGGTACGGTGGCTTGGCAATGTGGTGTGCTGCTCCTCGGACTGCTGCTTGCAGTTCCTGCCGCTTTTCCCCAGCCACAACCTGCTGATCCTGGTGCTCCTCTAGCGCTGCAGGCCATTGCAGTGCAGGGGGCCGGAGTCTTCGTGTGTACACCGCGGGTGGTGGTTGCCGCAGCTCTTCTCCCTGTTCTTCACAGTGCTCTCCCGCAGCCTCCGTCAAGTGAACTCCCTCCTGCTGCAAATTTTCTTTTTCTTCATGTTCATCATTTTTTTCCCGCTTCTCTTTTTCTCCCTTGACTCCTGGAACATCCTCTCCAACAATCTGCAAACAGCCTTCATGCGGTGCATGCACATCCGCCTCCTCTTCCACGTTGTCGACCAGGTGATGTGTGTAATGTTTCTCAACCTGGCTCGATTGTCTCTCTCTCTCCCTTCGGGTTGGGACAGCAGCACGCCGAGCCTCCTCCTGCTGCATACGCTTCTGAACAAGAGCAGCATCTCTGTCCGCCATAGCCTTTGCCCGCGCTGCTTCCTCCTCGTCTGCATCAGGCACCAGGTGGTGTGCATCACGTACTGGGTGCTCTGCATCAGGCAACGGGTGCGTCAAGAACTCGATGTCTGTGTCCACTCTCGCCACGGGGTCAGAAGGCAGCACCTCCGCCTCCTTTTCATGCCTCCTCAGCCTCCGACTGACGTATGTAGTGGCGGGGACTGCTGGCTTTGCCCCCAACTCGAAACCGGAGTCCTCGCCAATGTCATCCTCATCATCACTCTCGTCGGAAGTGGTTTCGTTCCAACACTTCCCCTTCCACACAAGATCCTCGAAGTCGTTGCTCCCGGTTGAGTCCTCATCTTCGAGCCCCTTTGGAACCCGTCCTTTCGGAGCCTTTGCCAATCTCTGTTGCCTCTTCTCCTCCTCCACATTGTTTGCAGTCTTGTCCATCGTGCCCTCCTGAACAGACTGCTCTTCCTCCGTCGGCTCCATCAACGGCTCGAAGAAGGACCCCCACGTGTCAACGTAGCCATTCTCCTTGCTGTCTGGAACACGCAGCAGCTGCATGTTCCAGTGAATGTACACAAGCTTCTCCAATGACTCCGGCGAGAGGCTGTTTCTCCTCTTCGAATGGACGAAGTCCATTGAAGCCCAATTGCGCTCTGCAGGTATGGCTGTGCTCCACATTCCCAACACTCTGATGGCAATCTTCTGCAATTCCGGGACATCTCCACCATGTAATCCCCACCAGTCTTGAGGTGCACGTCGCGTGGCTCCTTCTCTTGCATGGTCTGTCCACATGTGTTCGTCTTTCCGGACTTCCCCTTCCACAGGCTCTCTCAAAAACTCCCACAAATAATCCCACATGTCAACATGCTGCTTTGAATTCCACGTCCGCCCAATCTGCCTCATCAAGAAACGCATTGCGTTTTGCACGAGGGGGCTGTCCGGATCATTCAGCCATCTGGGGTCTCTCCTTCGTGGATCCAGAAGAAATGTGTGGGTGGTCTCATCATCTGCACGCGATCATTCACCTTTGCCATAACGTCTTCCCTCTCCGTCTTCGTGAGGACGACATTTGACAATTTCCTTGCAATCATATCATCGAACTCTACGAGGTTGGTGGGACTAACTCCTTCCTTGTCCATCCTTTTCAACAAACCGTACACAGGCTCCATGAATGCCACAATTTTCTTGACCTTCGCCCACCAACTCTCAGTCCTCAATGTGAAGTAGACAAGGTCTGCCTTTCTTTGCAACTTCTCTCCTGACCACCTCAAAGCCCTCCACCTCGCAGCAAACTTGCCATCCACCATCTCGTTCAACACATCCTCCCTGTTCAATAGCCTGTGCAACATCTGGTACACCGACCCAAACCGGACCTCAGTCGGGCGCAGCAATGTCAACGAGTCATCGATTGTCATCATCAGACCATTGGTAGCGTGATGGTTCCTTATGAACTTGACGATGGTGTTGGCCGTCTTCACGGTGTCCTTCACCCATGGAAGATTGCTCAGGTCCTTCAACAACAAGCTGCAGCAGTGCGCTCCGCATGGTACCCAAGGTATCCTCGCAACATCTCTATCTGTCCGCCTCTCCAAGATCTGGGCCGCCTTCTTGTTTACCTCCGCGTTGTCGGTACAAATGGCGTTGATCCGTTGCAGCCCGATCTCGCGCATGATTTGCTCTCATAACTTTGCCAATGCTACTGCATTCTTCTTCCTCCCTGTCATATGAACAGTTGTCACAAGAACGGCTCCTTTCTCCCCTGCTGCCAGGAAATTCATCACCGGCCTGTTCTTCTGATCAGTAGACCCGTCTGTGATGAACGTGCATCCAGTTTTGTCCCAACACACAGTCATGGGGTTGATTGCCTTTTGAACCTTCAAGTACACATACTCCAACATCACCGTCCGCATGTGCTTGTAGGTAGGCAACTTCACTTTCCGCCTTGCATTGGCAACTTCCAAGTACGCATCATGAAGAGCCTATGTTGTGTCGAAGTTCAGGAAGTTGAAAGCAATGCCTGCCCTGAACATTGCCTCTGCCCAAGCAATGTCCAACTTCTTCTGGGCTTCATTGTCGATCCACTTCCTGATTGTTGTTTGTTTCTTGACCACCATCCGCTGACCGGTGTGTTGCCCTTCACCGGTGTCCACATCCCCCCCCCCCCCCCCCCCCACAACCTTCTTTTTTTTTCTTCGGAAAAGAACAAAAAAAATATCAAAAAAAGAAAGACAGAAAGAAAGAAAGAAAGAAAGAAAGAAGAAGAAGAAGAAGAAGACAAAGAAGAAGAAGAAAAAAAAAAAGGTTGTGGGAGGGGGTTTGGGGCTGGCAGGGCAACAGCGGCCCTGCCACGTGGCAGAGCGCCGATCGCCCTGCCCCCCTAACTCCCCCACAACCTTTTTTTTTTTTTCAAAAAATAACGATAAAAAGATCAGAAGAAAGAAAGAAAGAAACAAAGAAAGAATGAAAGAAGAAGAAAAAAAAGAAGAA